GAAACTGAAGAGCAAATATGTGGACAGAGCTCAGATATATGTAAGAATAATAGAGTTGTAATGATAGGGGACTTTAACCTTTCAAACATAGACTGGGACTGTCATAGTGTTAAGGGCTTGAATGGGGACTAATTTGTTAAGTGGGTAGAAGAAAACTTTCTTATTCAATATGTGGATGTACCTACTGGAGAAGGAACAAAACTTAACCTTCTCATGGGAAATAAGGCAGGGCAAGTGACTGACGTGTAAGTGAGGGAGCACTTTGGGACCAACGATCATAATTCTACTAGTTTTAAAATAGTTATGGAAAGAGATAGGCCTGGTCTACAAGTTAAAGTTCTAAATTGGAGCAAGGTCAATTTTGGTGGTATTAGACAGGAACTTTCAAAAGTTGATGTGGTAGACTGTTCACAGATAAAGAGACGCCTGGCAAGTGGGAGGCTTCCAAAAGAGAGATAACGAGAGTTCAGAGACGGTATGTTTCTGTTAGAGTGAATGGTAAAGCTGGTAAGAGTAGGGAACAATGGATGACGAGAGATATTGAGATGCTGGTCAAAAAAAGGACGATTGTGTCAGGTATAGACAGCTGGGATCAAGTGAATCTCTTGAAGAATATAAGGGGAGTAGGGACATATTTAAGAAGGAAATCAGGGGACAAAAGGGAATATGAGAGCCTTGGCAGATAAGGTTAAGGAGAATCCAAAGAGAGTCTACAAGTACATTAAGGGCAAAAGAGTATCTAGGGCAAGAACAGAGCCCCTTGAAGATCAATTAGGTTGTCTATGTGTGGAACCACAGGAGGTGGGAGAGATACTAAATGGATATTTCACATCAGCATTTACTGTGGAGAAATACATGGAAGCTAGGGAACTCAGAGAAATAAATATTGATGTATTGAAAACAGTCCACATTACAGAAACAGAGGGGTTGGAGGTTTTAAAATGCATAAAGGTGGATAAATCTCCGGGCCCTGATCAGGTGTATCAGAGGATACAAGAAGATTTAAAAAAAGATTTGAGGCGCAACTTTTTCACACTGAGGATGGTTCATATGTGGAATGAACTGCCAGAGGAAGTGGTAAATGCAGGTACAGTTACAATATTTAAAAGACATTTGGGTAGGTACATGGATAGGAAAGGTTTAGAGGAATATGGGCCAAATGCAGGCAAATGGGACTAGTCTAGTCTAGAAAACCTGGTCAGCATGGACAAGCTAGACCGAACGGTCTGTTTCCATGCTGTATGACTCTGTGATGATTTTCTTGCACTCTGGGTTGTTTAGTCACCTCGCGCTTCCACCACCAAGCCCCCATACCCTGCCAAAGGTGGGGCAAGTACGGTTTGAAGAGGCAGCTGGCTGGGATTTTTGAGCACTCTCTCTGCTGGGGCTGTTAAAGACACTGGATGTGGTTGGGTCCTTCACGGACACTTCTCCAGTCTGTGGTGGGGTGGGGGGAAATCTTGGACAGGGAATTCCCCAACAGACGGTCGGTTGTTTTATCTCTTCACAGAGGATTGAGGATATCTTTGAAACTTTTCATTTGCCCTTCTCTAACCATTTGCTGTGCGAAGCTCAGTAATTCATAGAATCCCTACAGTGTGGAAACAGGCCCTTCGGCCCAACAAGTCCACACCAACACTCAGAGCATCCCACCCAGACCCATGTCCCTGTAACCCACCTAATCTACACATCCCTGAATACTACAGGCAATTTAGCATGCCCAATCCACCTAACCTGCACATCTTTGGACTGTGGGAGGAAACTGGAGCACCCGGAGAAAACCCGCGCAGACACGGGGAGAATGTGCAAACTCAACACAGCCAATGACCTGAGGGCGGAATCGAACCCAGGACCCTGGGGCTGTGAGGCAGTTGTGCTAACCACTGAGCCACCGTGCCGCTTTTGAAAGCCTTGAGAGGCACACCGACGTGGCCCCACCCAATACAACTGACACAACCAATGCCTTAGTACTTGGAGAGGTTAGTCTCAGAGTGGGTTGGGCCGGGGGAGGGGGTGTACTGATTTTGGATCGTCTGTGCAGCCAGTGGATTTGCACTTTTTTGTAGAGGTACTGCTAGCGAGGTGTGTACTGTGACTAACAATGTCCATGTTTCCAATTCTCAGGAGCCTCCTTCCAGCGACAACAGAACTCAATCATCACATCCAACGTGCCAGCACAGCCTTTGGCCATCTGAGGAAGAGGCAGTTTGACATGTAAATGTAACATACCTTTTAAGTCTTTGGAAATTCTAATGGAGAGAAAATCTGCCAGTGCAAATCTCTGTCAAACCTATGCCTGGAGGCTCCAGACTGAATCCTCTCTGGGGGAGAATTTATATTCTGACAGCAAACCAACAGAAGCTACCTGTGTGAATTTGAACATGGAAATTGGACTCCACATGTATTAGAGTTCCAACACGATGGAAGAAAAAGAACAAGTAACTTATTTACTAGTTTATTGTGAAGGTTGGTCTGCTGTTGGCTCGGGTTAATGCTGTATAAACAGGATCTACAAGCAGACAGGTCTGTTTCAATTCAACAATAATGGCAGGTCACTTGTGTACTTTAGTGTTAGTGTTGACCCCAATCATTGCAAATAAATCAGAGTGGTCTTAATTTTGAAGCAACACTTACTGGCGTATTTACACAGTCACACAAACACTCTGTAAGTTTGCAACAAACGACTGGGGCCTCAATTCTACTTTCCTGCCTGCCCTCCACAAACTTTGTTGATCAAAAAACCAACTCAGCCTTGAATCTCAGCCAATAACCCAGCCTCCACTGCTCTCTGGGGAATTGAATGCCACAGATTTAACAACTCCCAAAAGAATCTCTCCAGTTTTAAATGTGAGACCCTTAATTTTGAGCTGACTTGTAGTCTACACATCCCTAAAAAAAAAAGGGAACGGTCTTAACATCTAACCTGTCAAGCAAAGTTCCCCCTCAGCTGCACACACACAGCTGCTCCCAAGGTCCAAGCATAATGATGGCCATGTCAGTGCCCTTCACAGCATTGAGTTCTGGTTCTGTAAGCTGCTGCTGCACACAGACCTAGAAAGAAAACATTAGTGGTATTACTGCTGTCACCTCCCTGCTGGGTCTATGTTTCAATAAGATCACGTCTCATTCTTCTAAACTCCAATGGATTGAAGCCGATCCTGTATAGCCTCTCTTCATAATTCCTTCATCCCAGGAACGTGTCAACAGCTAACATAATTTTTATCCTTTCTTAAATGAGATCAGAACTGCACACAGCACTCGAGATGCAGTCTAACAAAGGCCCTCTTCAATGGTGGCAAGTCTACTTTTATTGTTGAACTTGATTCAAATGCAATAAACACCAACATTCCAGTTGCCTTCCTAAGCACTTGTTGTACCTGTGCACAAGGCTTTTATAACTCCTGTTCCAGAACACTCAGATCCCCGTGTATTGTAGATATTGAGGAGCACTTTGGCTGATCCCAGCAGTTGCACTGGTTACGTGGGTATCTTGCAGCTATAGAAGTCCTCAGTTGAAAAATGCACGCATATCATCTATTCAACAAGTCATAGTGGCATGGAGCTGTACAGCACAGAAACATACTCTTAGGTCCAATCTCCCCATGCCGACCAGATATCCTAAATTAATCTAGTCCCATTTGCCAGCATTTGGCCAATATCCCTCTAAATTCTTCCTACTCATACATCCATCCAGTTGCCTTTTAAATATTGTAATTGTACCAGTCTCCACCACTTCCTCTGGCAGCTCATTCCATACACACACCACCCTCTATGTGAAAACATTGCCCCTTAGGTCCCTTTTTAAATCTTTCCCCTCTCAACTTAAACCTATGCCTTCTAGTTTTGGACTCCCCTACTCTAGGGAAAAGACCTTGGCTATTTACCCTAACCATGCCCCTCATGATTTTATAAAACTTCACAAACCCTCCAACCCTAGCAACATCCTTCTAAAGCTTTTCTGAATCCTTTCAAGTTTCACAATGTCTTTCCCATAGCAGCTGATGAACAATGACACTGATATGTTGCACAGTGGAAATATATCTTATCAGATCAGCTATTTAGGAACCCAGAGGGGAAAGACACAGACTGATGAAATGTGGCATTAGGAGGGATCACTGGAAGAAAAAGGCAAAAGTGGAAAAGTTTAAGGATAATTGGTACTAACAAAGAAACAAAGGTGGAAAAGTAACTAAGTGGGGGTCAGATATTGCCTGACCAGACTTCAGTGAAATTGCAAAAGGAGGTAACTAGATCTTATTTGAAGGTACTTGGGATCCTCAAAGTGTTGTGCCTCAGATACACTGCAATAACACTATTCCAGTGATGCCGCATATATCGGTCTTGTGTCCCAATAATTGGTGGATTATTTCAAACTGATTTTGACTGTTTGTGACTGACCATACTCAACTTGCCCCTCAATTACAAAAACTCAGAAGTGACCATGTGAGATATGAATCTATAATTCGACGGTACTTATTCTGGTTGTGCTAAGAACTACATCAACAATTTAATATTGACATACACTTACATGTAGGGCCCTGTCCTTTGCCCACAGAAAGAACATGCCCACTCATTGTGTTTTTCTAATGAGATGAAACCTTAGGGAGGTCGGTTGTTTCCCAATGCATTCTCTATGGCGATAACTTGACCAGACTGAGCTTATCAGCCAATCAGCACCTTCCCCTGAAGCAATGTAGATTGTTGATCCCTTCAAAATTTGGTATTCTTGCAATTTTGTCCTGATGGGTTCCAGACGGAAAACTTTAAGAGCATTCTATCAGCACTATATCACTTCACATTGGGACTGGAGAGAGGCTGGATAGCACAGCTACTGTAAGAGGTTCCAGCTGCTTGTAACGCTTTCATAAACTGGTGCAAACTGCAATATCTGAGATTCAAATCAACAGGAAAGGAAAACAGGACAACTATTTTCAAATAAACCCAGTATTTTCAAAGTAGCAACAACAACATTTTTTCCTCAGAGTCACTGATGTTTTTTCAAACATTTTTATTTTCAGTCAGAAATGTCCGAATTGATACACACTATCAAAATATTTGAATACAACCCGCTCCCCCACTCCATGAAATAGTTTCCTAAAGGTAGATTAAAGTCCACATTCATTTTTACTTACTCTTTTTTTTTTAAGAAAAAGCATTCCTGAAAAGGCTTGACGTTATCGGTTCTGTTACAAACTGAACTTGGCATTAAATATTTTTAAGAAAATCTAATCTGCTTTAACATTTCAAAATGGAATGTTTTCCCAGGAGTGTTACAATGAGCTGAGACCATGTCTCAACTCATAAACCAAGTAATTCCAAAAGACTTCAGAAGCCACAAATGTGCTCCAACTTTTATTTATAATTTTTATACCCCATGACATTACAAAGGTCCAATTTATACATCAGAAACAACTTTGAGTGTAAGAGGTAGCAGATTAAAGTAAATATTACTTTTAAGGCCTCATTTGTAAGAGGCTGTAGAAATGTCAGAATATTTATGTCATAAAAGCTGATTGCCAAATATCTCAGCAGAATTTTTTTCTAAAAAACTTTCACGATATCAAGCAGACACTGAGATAAGACACTGATATAATGCCTTTCGTGATCAGAAGGCATCGGAATAGCTTCACAATCAATGGAGTACTTTTGAAGTGTCAAATGTTGGACCGTTGGAACTGCAATAATCAATTCACGCACAGCATAACAACGGGATGATAATGTTTGATGACTGGTTTTTGTGACGTTGGCTGAGTGATAAACATTGGCCAGCAGGTGGAGGATAACACACCTGCTTTCCTTTAAATTGTGTTATGGGATTTTTTTTTAATATTAGTCTGAGGGCAGGCATGTTTCAGTTTAATGTCTCATTTGAAAGATAGCACCTTTGTCAGGGCTGCACTCCTTCAGTACGGAGCTGCGGTGTCAGCTTTGATCTTTATGCTAAGTTTCTGGAATAGGACTCAAACCCACAACTTTCTGACTCAGAGGCAAACGTACTGAGCTGCATCTGACATGGCTTGAACAATTACACTCAGGGCTCCATCCCCTGACAGCAACCTAGAAGCCAAACAATGCAGAAATCATACAATTAAAAAGAAATATCAGAGATATTTCATGGTTTTAAACCTCAGGAAGATTCCCATTACCTTTGTTTGCCCTTTATAAAATTTGCTAATGGCTTCAAAGGCAGAAGGAAAACCACAGGCAGAGTTGGATTCAATTGGTAAAACAGCTTTCTGAAGCCAAGACTCCTTACGGGTAAAATGCAAATAAACAGAAGTCTAGCAAAGCCTCAGAAAACTGCAACTCATTAACACATAGAGGTCCATGATGAAAAAAACACCTTGGTTGATCATATTCAGCTACTGAAAAACCAGACTGGACTGGTTTATAAACTGCATCAGCACTTATCGACAGCCTTTAGAGAGCTGACTTTCAAACGAAAACAGCAAGGTGAAAGCAGAACTTCTTCAGCAATATTTAAGTTCCACCTTCCAGGACTGGTTCCCTTTCAAGCATTTCTGTATCTTTCTCTAGTGAATCAAAAACATTTTACAATATCTGGTAGCATTTGCAGTCAAACTTCATCAGTTACTCAACACTGAATCTGGAGTTCCCTCTGACTAAGAATATTGTAAACAGACAAAGAGAGCTCCTGCTTTATGTTTACAGATGGATCATAAACCTCTAATGGGCATTCTGTAATATATTCTGCTATTTTTTAAATTATATTAAAGTTTGCATAATTAAAGTTCAACATCTCCCTAAAATGTCTACTCTGATCTTTCCAGTTAACAGCAACTGGTAAGCACAGACACTCTGAGGATAAAGTGTCTATTAAACCCTGTCCACTCTGAATATCACCTTCGATATTTTCCCTGCACTGTACAATCCAAATAGGAGGAATGAATAAACTCCCAGAGCTGTTTGGCATTGTTGGCATTTCCCAGGATCTCTGCTAGTCGTTCCTGAGACAGTGTCACTAGTTCAGCAATGCTCCTCACATGGTTCATCAGGGCCCGACAGTTTTTTGTATTGACTCCAGGCATTTTCAGCAGGAAGTCCTGTGGGCCGGGGTTGTACCTGTCCGACTCGGAAACCATTTCGGAATCGCCGCTGACCGCCACAGCAGCGGCCGCATCCGGCTCAGGACGGTTCTGCTTCAGCTCCTCGAACAATTCAGCAGCGACGTGTGGGGAGGGACACCACAGAAGCCGCAGCCTGGGGAAGTGAAGAGTCAGTAAGGTGAGCTTGGATGTAAGGTCATTAATGGAAATGTCCTGGTGTGCGGACCCTCTGAAGTTCAGTGAAAAAGGCTTGTTGGGGTCAAACTCGATCAGAAGCACAGGCCTCTTGTAATACCGGGACATGGTGATGCACTGAGTGTACAGCCGGCCTTTGTTCAAAGAGCCAATCAAGTCGCTCACACTCTTGCGTTCAACACAGATATCGGGAGTCAGAATGTAGTCACCAACCTCCAGGGTGACTGGCTCGATGTCAATGCCACGCCGATGTATCAGGGAAGGCAGCTCACTGCGAAACTCCCGCATATCCACTATGATTCGCTGCTGTTCATGTTTCTGAGTCTGACCACCTGCATTAAGTCAAACCAAGCAAGAGAATTCATCTTCAAATTAATTATCGCCCATCTATCTCCTGACATTTACTTCTGCATATTTCCTTCAAAATTTGCTTTTCATTTGTTTTATCAATCAATTTTGCTCCTTTGCCTTGATGGGGCAGGCTAGCTGGAGAGAGAGTGCAACATTCCCCCGGTTTCTTATCAAACTGGCATTAGTGTTTGATACTGGCAGTACTGTACGAAATCCTACTTCTGCAGCTAATTCACACACTTGTCCGATGGACAGGATAAGCTTGCATCTGCTGAAATTTAGACGGGTCAGAGATGACCTAATTGAAACAGGTAAGATCCTGAGGGTGCATGTGGAAAGGATGATTTTGCTTGTGGATTCTCCTCTTGAGATTCTACAACGAGGGATCACTGCTTTTAAAAAAAAAAAAGGGTAAAGACAGATTGAAGACAAGACAAGGAGATGAAATTTTGCTCTCTCGGGAGGATTTTCCCTCAGACTCTGTCTTCCCGAAAAGGCAGGGGAAGAGAATCCTAATTAAAGGCAGAAGTTAATAGATTTGAGGCAAAGGTTGCTGGCGAGGTGGGGGGGAGGTTTCGGGGAGTATGTGCAGTAATCAGGTGATTGTATTAAATGGTAGAATAGGCTTGAGGGGCTGAACGGCCTATACCTGGTTCTAATTGGTCATGTGGCACAGTTCTCCAGCCTTCTCTTCCTGACTTTAGAGAAGCTTGGTCTCAATAACACAAAGATTGGGAATTTGCCATTTGAAAAAGCTGCCCCCTTGGTAACTGTATGACAACATACTGGGGAAACAGGTTTTAGCTCAAGTACAAGAGAACCGTCCCATATAAAATATCGCTTGACACAGCCAACAAAATGTCAATACAAGGGGCAGAACTTTGCTGTGGGTTGATAACAATAAGGCTGTCAGCACTCACTGATTACTTCCCTGAAAGAGTCCTTTACACAGAGAGTGGTGGGTGCGTGGAATGCACTGCCAGCGGTGGAAGTGGTGTCAGAAACATTAGGGACATTTAAGCGACTTTTGGATAGGCACACGGATGATAGTAAAATGTAGGGTATGCAGGGTAGTTTGACCTTAGAGTAGGATAATAGGTCAGCACAACATTGTGGGCTGAAGGATCTGTACTGTTCTATGTTCACCTTCAGGAACCTACACAACTAGAGAACACCACAAATCCAGGAGGTACTGTCTGTGATTTGATGCTTCACACTGTGATCAATAAAAAGTGAACAAAATCGACAGCACCTTCCACCAGCAGACTGCACTGCTTAAAATAGGTTGGAAAAATTTAAATTCTGTTGCATGCTAAGCTTATTATTATTGCTAAACACTTTGAATTAGCATTGAAAAACTAATTTCATTGAATCATAGCATCGTACGGTACAGAAGATGGCCATTGGGTTTATTCCATAGCCTGAAAGTGCTACCCAGCTGGTCCTACTCTCCAGCTTTTTCTTTTTTTAAAAAATTCAGTCATGGGATGAGCGAATCTCTGGCTAAGACAACATTTATTGCCCATCTCTAATTGCCCAGAGGGCTGTTAAGAGCCAACCACATTGCCGAGGGTCTGGAGTCGCATGGAGGCCAAACCAGGTAAGGATGGTAGTTTCCTTCCCTAAAGGGCATTAGTGAGCCAGATGGGTTTTTCCCAACAATCAATTATAGGTTCATGGTCTTTGTCAAACTCTCAAATTCAAATTTCACCACCTGCTGTGGCGGGATTCGAACCTGGGTCTCTGAATTAACAGTCCAGCGATAATACCACCAGGCCATTGCCTCTCACTATCGAGATAATGTAGCATTTTAAAGAGAATCGCAGATTAAAGCTGGCACTGGTGGGATTTGAACTCACACCTTGATGGAGACTGGAACTTGAGTTCAGCGCCATACTACCGCAATCTCAAAGACCTCTAAATTAACCACATCCAAATATATATTCAGCTCTCCTTTGGAATCCGCCTCCACCACTCTTCCAAGCAGAGCATTCCAAATCCTAACAACTGAGTAAAGAAGTTTTTCCTCATCTCACTCCTAGTTCTCTTGCTAACAGTCTTGAAATTGTGCCACCTAGTTACTGACAAACCAACTAGTGAAAACAGAACACCCTTCTTTACCCTGTCAAAATTGTTGATAATTTTGAACACGTCAATAAGGTCACCTCTTAATCCTCTCTGCTCTAAAGGAGAATAAGCCCTATTTCATACTTGAGGAATATAGAGTTTTTTCATTCTGATAAAAACATTCCATGTACTTATGAAGGTAACATTTTTTACAAAATCAGTTTAATTTTGTTTTGACTTCTATCTTAATCAAATAATTTAACTACTATTAATAAAGTTAAAGTAATATCCTGCCTGCTATCCATGGGAATACTGCAATATGATTGGCTCAAATTTTGTCTCCTGAAGTTGCCATATCTTTATTTCAGCTTCTCTCACAATCAAATCAGAAACTTTTAATCCTGAATATTTAAATTAAAATACCGTTCTGCCTGAGAGAACAGTACAATGTGATTGGCTTATCTGCTAGCTGACATCACTGTTGTATTATGCCTGGAATCCCTTGACTTGGTGCCAGATTTAAATAGATGTTGCGAAAGGGGAAAAACAACAGTATCAAGATTGTGAGATCTTTGGTGGTAAGAGACACCACTAAAAGCAATATCTGGGTCAACAGGCTCTAAAAACAGAGTGGGCAAAGAATATTTCACTTCAGATCATGTCCAGGGTGGTGTTTGAGGTTCTTTGGTGCTTCAATATTGTTGCCCTTCTGAACAGTGACAGCATTCCATTAAACTCTTGACTCGTGCCTGGTAAACATTGGACTGATTGAAGGGAGCTACAAAGCATTGACTTGCTGAAGAATACCCAGCCTCTCTGGGAGATACAAAAATGTATGTACTGGGGAATGGTGCGCTACTCCCTCCTTGAAGGATGGTTATAGACAGGAGGGTGGTTTAGGGATGGTAACACCATTTAATAGGTGGGGATACGCTCGGTATTATTTATTAGAATCACAGAATCCTACTGTGTGGAAGCAGGCCATTCAGCTCATCAAATCCACACCTACCCTCCAAAGAGCATCTCATCGAGAACCAATTCTCCACCCCTGCATTTCCCATGGCTAATTCACCTTGCCTGCATATCCCTGCGCACTACAGGCAATTTAGCACGGCCAATCCACCTAATCTGCACATCTTTGGACTGTGGGAGGAAACCCACACAGACCGTTTCCCAGGGGTGGAATTGGATCCGAGTCCCTGGCACTGACAGGCAGCTGTACTAACCACTGTGCCAGATAAATGTGAGGTGCAACTGTTAACTGTCATTTCAGATTTAGTGCCTTGTTGCATGCAGGTGTGGACTGTTTCACTAGCTGAGAAACTGGGAACGGAACTGAATACTAGAACAAACTGCACCACCTCAGACAGGACGATGAAGGGGTTTATCCTGGTGACGATAATTTCAGGTTTGAATTCACAAAAAGAAAAAAAAAGAAATAAAGAGCTTTCCCGGTTTACACAAACCTGCTTTCCTTGTGTCTGCAATAGCAGTTGCTGGGGCAACACTTCGTGTAAGGTCTGGATTTAAATCATCTCTTCCTTCTCTCTCCTCAGGGATAACCATCATTGCCTTCTCCCTAAACATGAGCAGGATAGAGAATCATACTTGAGAATATTTCCCATTCAGTTTAAGAAGTCCTCACTCATTAATGTAAATACACTTTGCGAACATACAGGCAGGCCCTGGGTTGCAAATGGGTTCCATTCTGGACTCCACTCACAAATCAACCTGTATGCAAGTGAAAACACAATGCAGGTCAACAGAACGCAGCTGTTCCTAAGCAGTGGAAATGTTCATATGTCGGATCTTTAAAATTACACCCCATGTGGGATCATGTTCATTAGACAGATGATTGAAAATTAGGGACCCCACTATTTTAATTGCATTAGTCACTTATAATGTGGGCAGACTCAACAATTGGTGAGGCCTCTTCTGGAATACTGTGCCCAGTTATGTGAAGGATGTTATTAAGTTGGAGAGGGTTCAGAGAGGTTTGCAGGATGTTGCTGGGTATGGAAGGTTTGAGTTATAAAGAAAGTCTGGATAGGCTGGGACTCTTTTCACTCAAGTGTAGGAGGTCGAGAGGTGACCTGATAGAAGTTTATCTCATGAAATAATATGAGAGTTGTAGATAGAATTAATGGTAGTTGTCTTTTCCCTAGGATGGGTTATTTCAAGACTAGGGGGCACAATTTTAAGGTAAGAGGAGAGAGATTTAAAAAAGACATGAGGGGCATTTTTATTTTTTTTACACAGTGGGTGATTTGTGTGTGGAATGAAGTTCCTGAGGAAGTGGTGGATGCAGGTACAATTACAATGTTTAAAAGACATTTGGATTGATATGTGAATAGAAAAGATTTGGAGGGATATGGTCCAGGAGCAGGCAGGTGGGACTACTTTAGTTTGGGGTTACGTTCAGCATGGACTGCTTGGACCAAAGGGTCTGTTTCTGTGCTGTATGACTTTATGATTCTAAATAGCATTTATTGCTGAAGTTAACAGAAGGGGAAAGAACTAAAAGGTACCAGAGAGACGTTTAGATTAAAACAAAAATCAGCAAAATGATAGCATGTGCATTCAAGACAAATATGAAAGGAATTTCTTGCAAAGGTTTATTTTGTTTCCAATAAAGTCATGTTGGAAGCCTGCAAGTAAATGCACTGAAGGTGCATACAGGCTAAAAACCCACCAAGGATCACATGGAGAGTTCAGACAGCAGACAACCTTACTAGCTGTTACTCTTGTAAATGAGACGAGTTTACCGATTTGTCTTAGAAAATTACACAAGCTGATAAGTTTTCTTAGTTCTTATTTTGCTGAATTTGATCAGTCACGTTCATCTGTAACTGCATGTGAGGAACACTGATTTTTTTTATGAACTGAATAAATGGGTTTCCTCTGTCAATATTTTACTGTCCTTGGGTTTGGTTGACAATTGAATAAAATAGGCTAAATTGTCTAATGGAAGTTACAAAGACATTTCCACAATAAAAGGGCAAATTGGTCCTCATTTTAAGTTAATTTTACAGAGCGTTTTGTTCACAGTATAGACTCCATTGAAGCTACATTTCCACTTGTTTACCTTATCAAAATCTCAAAAGCCGTTTTCTCTTTCCTCAGCTTGGTCAGGTAACGTTGCTCTTCTGTAGATCCTCCGTATATTAGGAAATAAACCCTGAAAGAAATTAAAATCGAACACATCGGGTCTTCAGGCACCACATACACGTAAATGCTTCATCCTGAAACATGTACACAACTGCTGCTTAGGTTAAGGGAAAGGTGGAATATTTATGTTAAGTTGGCACAATATCCCTTTGATTCGATTCCATTAGTCCCACTGCAAGTGCTCGGATTGCCTCATTAACTGTGTGAAATTGAAGTGACTATTCTGATGGAGATAAACTTGATCACCAAGCTGCTGCAAAGATAAACATTTTCCCATTTATTCACATGAATGAATGAGTGGAAGAGGAAAAAAGCACACACACAGAAACAGATAAAACTTACTTCCATTACAAAAATAACAGCACAGAAACGGGCTAGTTGGCCTGACAGTCTACACCTGTATTTCTTCTTCTCCTCACAAGCTTCCTCACACCTCACCTAACCTTAGTAATGCATTTGTCAATTCCTTTCTCCCTCCATCTAATGCTTTCTTAAAGACATTGATGTTATTTGCCCTAACTAGCCTTTGCGGTAGCAAATTTGACATTGTAACCACTTTCCGGATAAAGAAATGTTCAGAACACAGGGCAGCACAGCAAATACAGAACAATGAAAAGTGTTTCTCAACTGCTAAACATGGTAACAGCAGATCAAGGGTAAAGCTTTGTGTAAGGGAAGGGTCAGACAGAGGGGGGGGAGTGAGTGCTAAACAGTCTCAATTAGGCTTTTTATCCAAAACCCTACTCCCATCTTTTCTCCACATAGCACCATTTCAGCACAAGCAGAAAGCAGCGAGATGAGCCAGAGCTACAAAAAGGAATTAAATAATCTGGATCACCACTATCCATTATGACTGGAGGACTCACCTCAGATGTAGGCAGGTAACAGTTGAAAAGAAACGACATGCAGAAACTATGGAGCTAGTCCTGTGGCACCAAGTAATTTATGTTCTTTATTAACACATTAAGTTTTCCTAGTTTATTGAATTGATGCAGTGAGCTGCTACATAGTACTGTCCCGATTACTTATGGCTGAGGCTGAACAACCACAAGCACAATTTAGCTATAAAATCTCCAGTCTCAGACTCTGCCTTGCTGACAGTTACAAATGAACCTCGTAGTTCTGCAGAGCAAATAACACCAGAGTCACAGTCAATATGAAGGTTCCTTATTCACCTTAACACAGCTCCCACACAACAGGAATCCCATATTGGATATCCAGCAAGGTAACAAACAGGCTGAAGAGTGGATAGCAATGATGATAGCAGATGCAAGATGCTACTCACTTCTGGAATCCCTGTGGCAAGTTTAATGCAGTGATGGGTGAGCAGTCACCAATGGCTGCTTTAAGGCATGATGGAAGCTAATTTTACAAAAGCACTGCAGCAGCACAAGTGAAAACAGAAATTGCTAGAGAAACTCAGTAGCTCTGGCCGCATCTATGGAAAGAGAAAAACAGTTAACGTTGAGTCCAGTGACCCTTATGGACTTAAATACTAACTCTGTTTTCTCTCCACAGATGCTGCCACACCTGCTGAGTTTCTCCAGCAATTTCTGTTTTTGTTGTTTCAGATCCTCAGCATCTGCAGTTCTTTGTTTTATTGCAGTATGGTGGCACAGAATGGAAGCAAAGCAGACAGACACAGTGATGGGAGGTGTGTGCAGAAAATAATGTTACAAATAGGACGGGAACACGAATGGCGCCATTTTCCCCGAAGTTCATTAGTAATTACTGTAATGGGAGCAGCCTCTTGCCTACCTTCTCAGACGGTGAACTGATGCCCAGATCCACCTGGAACCCATAGGTCGTTTAATTTAAATGAATGTAATTTGCACAATGTGATATCTTTAATCAAAAGCGATGGGAGAAGTAATATTTTCTCTTTAGATGAACATTTTCATGCAAGAAACCTCTTGCAATTTTCACTGCTCATTCATTCCAATTAGACTTTTTAATAAGATGTCTGATCCTTGAGCTCAATCCACTTTTCCAAATCATGTCTCTGGATTCCATTAAGGTTTAAAAGTTTAGCATCTACAGCTATCTTCTAAATGATGGTGCATCTACAGCTGTCTAGTGTAGAATCAACTATGAATATGTGTGGAACTCATGAGGATTCTGAACTCAAGAACTGCTAATAGAATCAGAGAATTGTTGGAGAGCACGAGGCTGTTCAGTTCATTGCGCCCACGCTGGCTCTCTGAGCAGTATCTCATTCCCCTACCGTCTCCCTACAATCCTGCACATTAGATGTTGCATTTTAAAATAACAAATTGTCTTTTGATGGTGTCATTTGAACTTATTTCCACCACACCTTCATGCAGTGCTTTCCACACCCTAACCACTTGAAGCATGAAAAAGAGTTGTTCTTCATGTTACTTTTACTTTTTTTACTAAATTACTTTAAATCGGTGTCCTCTCATTTTCGATCACGTTGCCTGCTTGGTGCCTTGATTCACAACACTGGTTTAGAGAGGAACATACAGGGAGAAAGGGAGAATCCAGTCACTGCGGTACCAATGATACCAACAGGACACCGAACAGGTACTGCATAGTCAGTACGAAAAGCCAGGCACAAACTAAGCAGCCGAATCCAAAAGTTAATAATCTCTACATTATTACAAGAGCCATGTGCAAACTGAGACAGGGGCAAATAAAATTAGGGAAATGAATGTATGACCCAAACTGTACAGTAGGAGTGAGCACTGGCTCGTGGCATAGTTGCCTCAGTGCCGGGAAAGTGGGAGCTGTATCATTGGGATGGACTATACTTGAACTGTGCTGGGACTGGTATTTCAGTCAGTTGCATAACCAGAGAAGATGACAGGAATTTAAACTAAACAGGGTGGGCAAGGGATCAAATTTGGAAAAAGTTTGGAAAATACATGAATAGGAAGGGTTCAGAGGGATATGGGCCAAATGCTGGCAAATGGGACTAGATTAATTTAGGATATCTGGTGGGTATGGACAAGTTAGACTCTATGAGGTCAACCAAAGAATACACAGAAGGCAAGAGAGGAAGTTATTATTATGAGAAATGATAAACAGGTTGTTTCAGGAAAGGATAGGGGGTCCAAGCCTGGAGTATTTTCAGAAAACACAACAGATACATCTGAACAAGAAAAAAAATCCTAACACGATAAAAGGCACGTAATTGTGGAAAGGTGGGTGGCAGGTCAGAAAAGTGAACTTTAAAGGTTGATAAGGTAGAAAAAATAGAATATGAGAGAATTTAAGTAAGAAATATAAAACCAGATTGAAAGAGTATCTACAAATATTTTAAAAAGAAACAAGTTAATAAGGTGAATATTGGGGCTATGGAAGTGACTCTGGGGAGTTAACAATTGAAAATAAAGAGCTAACAGTCTCGAATACAGAGGACACAAGTAGCTGTAAATTAGGAAATGGAAGGGAAAGGAGGACACAAGAATCTTACAATTACTAACGAAGTGAGACTGAACTAATTGTTGGAGCTGAAGGCTGTCGAGTTTCCAGGTTCTGATGGACTTTATCGTAAGGTCTAAAGTGTCTACTGACAATAGTTGGTGTGCTGGTTTTAATTTTCCAAACTTGCCTAGATTCAGGGAAGGTTTCATTAGACTGGAAAATAGAGAATATAATGCCTTTATTCAAAAAGGGAGAAAAAAAGCAGAAAACTACAGGCTGAACGTCTTTTGTGGGTAAAATGTTAGAAATTACGATTAAAGATATTATAGCAGGGCACTTAAAAATATAAATTTATCAGGCAGAAAATCATGTTTAACCAATTTATTGAAGTAACATGTTATGGATAAAGTGTATTGCACTTTGATAAAGACATCATATCAAAAGCTACTGTTGAAAATATATCTCATGGTGTAGGGAGTAATATGTTTGCGTGGATAAAATATTTGATTGCAAACAGGAAACCAAGAGCAGCTATAAATGGGCCAATCCTTGGTTGGCAAGATGTAATAAGTGGTGAGTCAAAGCTGGGGCCTCAACTCTTTACAATTTAAAAAAAAATTGACTCAGACGATAGGATCAAAGGTATAGTAGCAAACTTTGTTGACGACACAAAGACATTTAGGAAGGTAAGTTGTGAATAGAACAAAAGGAAGCTGCAAAGAGATACTGATAGGTTAAGTGAGTAGGAAAAGTTGTGGCATGTGCAGTACAGTGTGGAAAAATATAAAGTTGTCCACTTTGGCAGGAAGAATTAAAAACACACAATCTAATGGTGAGAGATTGCAGAGCTCCGAGATACAGAGACAGGTGTGTGTCCTACTGCATGTATTGCAAAAGACTCACATGCAGGCAACAGTAAGTAACAACGAAAGCTAATAGAATGCAGTAGTTTACCAAGAGGGGAATTGAATACAAAAGTAGGGAAGTAATATTCCAGTTATTCAGGCCATTGGTCAGGAATACCATGCACAGTACTGGCTTCCCTATTTAAGGAAGGATATAAATGCTTTGGAAGTGATTCAGAGAAGGTTAACTAGACTGATACTTGGAATGAGTGGGCTGTCTTGTGAGGAAAGGTTGGACAGGCTAAGCTTGTATTGCTGGGATCTCAAACAGCAAGAAACAACTTGTTTGAAACACAAGCTCCTGAAGGGTCTTGATCAGGTGGATGTGGAAAGCATGTTTCCTCTTGTGGGAATCTAGTACAGAGTCACTGTTATAGGGGTCATCCATTTAAGACAGAGGGGAGGACAATTATTTTTTTCTCACATAGGGTCATGAGTATTTGGAATTCTTCCTCAAAAGGTGGTGGAAGAAAATTTTAAAATTGTTTTTAAGGCAGCGATAGATAAATTCTTGACGAGAAAGTGATTAAAATGTTACCAGAAGCGTGCAGAAAAATCAGATTAACCATGATCTCACTGAGTGTTGGAATGGGATTGACGAACAGAGTGGCCTATTCCTGCTCCTAACCTGTACACATGTAGGTCTATTAGCAAAATCCCAGCAATCAGCAATGAAATATACGATGAGAGAATTTTTGTTAAGGACATTGGACCACGAATAAATATGAGTAGCAGGAGAACTTCCCTATTACTCCTTAAGTAGTGCCATTCTTTATTTTACATTCAACTGAGAGGGAAGACAGGCCTCAGGTTAATGTTTCATCTAAAGAGTTTTGACAGCACAGCACTGAAGTGTCGAACTGGATACTGTGCTCAAGTCACTGCACGGTGGCTCCAAATCAGAAGCATTGATTCAGAGGTAAAACTGCTATTACCGAGCTAGAACTTACCTCTTAGGAGGGGCAGCCTGGCATGGCTTCCACAGAATGAGGAAACCAAAGAGACATCCAAAATTAGTTATAACTGCAGTGGATTTCACGATATGGTACATTAGTGGAAAGGTTACGGTACTGAACTAGCACCACACAGCTTGTGTGTTCATATCAAATCGTGATAAGTGTGAAACTAAATGCAAGGGTCCATTTCCTTTCTCAGCAATGGTCTTGAGGTGATGCTAACCTACAGAATAAAAGTGGCTGACTCCTAACCCTCTCTGAAGTGATCAGCTGTTAAAAGGCAATAGCTTCAAAAAGGCGACCGCAATTGGGGATGGACAATAAACCTTGCTTGGGTTCTCATTCTGAATTTTTTTTTAAAAATTCACGCTTTTAAAAAAAGTTTGCAAACAGTGTTACCGGAGAGGCTTGCCGGGCTTGCTTGCTCTGTAAATCTCAAGCTGGCGAACAAATGACAGTTCTGCATCATACAGTATAACATAACGGGGCTCGATTTCATGCAGTACACGGGACAGGCTGTAGGGATCACTGCAGCCCTGTAAGGGATGGATGACAATGAGTGGCTCGTTCAGGATTCCATAGCAGGCATCTGTCGGAAGTTTCATAATCACACCCTTCGATTGAGCTTCCTCGATGTTGGCTTCTGGGCCAGCACTTTCTTCAATCTCCTCTTCCTCCTCTCCTTCCTTTACTTTATGAGAACCTTCATCATTTTCTCTTCCTACCATTTGAGTTAATGTCAACTCTGGTTTCCTCCTGTTTTTAGCAGTCTCTGCTTTTGCTTTCTTCAGTTTCGGCCCATTGCCAGGTTTCGATTTCGCCTTGGTTTTGCCGGGCTTCTTGTCCTTTATGCAGGTTTCCCCAGCATCCTCTGCCTTCTCGCTCTTCCCAAAGGTTTTATTATACAGTCTCATTAACAAGTCTTCTGCTCCAACAGAAATATATTCCTTCAGCTGGGCACAGGTTCTATCATCACTGGCACAGATCAGCACATGACCTAGAGGCAGTCAAAGAAAAACACTGCTGCAATCAACTGGGTTCACTAAGACATACTCACCTACAATATCAAATCACATCGCTGAAAAGACAGACATGCTGCTGAAGTTTTTTCATCTGTACTCGTTAGGACAAATGCAAGAATGCCAAATTTCAAACAATCACAACAAATTACACTGTGGGAAAACAGGGTATTGATTGGATGAAGCCTTGCAGTGGAGCTGTTACCTTGGAGCTTGCAACTCCAATATTTCTGCTTACGATGAACAATGTGAGAAGCCCTGTTTTAGGTCTATGATATAAACATTCCACTGATCAGTAGTTTCATTTGATTCAATTAGGTCCACGTCGTTGTGGAAGTAAGCAGTGAGCATGTTTAGACAGCAAATATCACTGGCAATTTAGCTTTGGCATAATTTATATTCCTGCAGCAATTTTGTAAAAACAAAAAGTATGAATCTCACGCGCAATAAAGTGAAACATATTTTACATAAATATATAGCTGATTCATGAATCATTTACTATTTCTGGACAAACCCAATTTTCATCCAAATTTCAAGACCAGTTTCTCTGCATGTTCCAGCCCAGCTGTCCCATAAAAAGCTTAAAACATTTGATGTCGATGTATATGCCATCTGGAGTTGTCATTCTCACAGGATTCCAACAATCTCTGCCAACACAGAGTTCTGGAGTTCAGCAAAGCCAAAGTCAGTGTTCAATTCTTTCAGTTGAGACAATGTGGAGCTACAGGCACACAGCAGGTCAGGCAGCATCAAAGGAGCAGGAAAGTCGACGTTTC